TAAGTTCCATGAACAAAAATTACTAGGCAAACCAGAGAACCCTACCTTAAAGAAAACTCTACACATACAAATTTAATGTCATAAGCAAAGTTAAAATATTCAGTCAAATATTCTCAACTGTGTGAAATAAATAATACACTCCTTTTCTTTAAAAAAAAATCAACAAATGAGCCTGGTGCAGTGACATGTCCATTCTACAATCACAGCTGCTTGGGAAGTTGAGGCAAGAAGACTGCAATTTCGAGGGCAGCCTCTTAGCAAGACCATGTCTTAAAATCAAAAAGAAACGTCAGATGTGGTGGTACGTGCCTGTAATTCCAGCACTTAAGACGTTGAAACAGGAAGATCTGGAGCTACACAGCAACTTCAAGCCCAGCCTGTACTGCATATCAAAGCCCTATCCTTACAAACCCATGTTTAGAGCAGCTGAATTCAGACCTCTGGAAAGAGCTTAGATGCCCATCAAAACACAAATTAGAAGAAGCAAATGTGTCACATATGCACAATGGAATATTATCTGGCCACAAAGAGTAAAAACATGTCTTTGGCAGGAAAATGGGTGGAACTTGAGACTATAACACTAAGAAAAATAAGTCAGACACTAAGTTAAATATTGCATGGTTTCTCTTCCATGTAAAACTGAAAATACAAAGGAAGGAAGGAAAGAAGGAGGGAAGGGAAGAGAAAGGAACGGAAGGGAAGGGAAGGGAAGGGAAGGGAAGGGAAGGGAAGGGAAAGGAAGAGAAAAGAAAGGAGAGGAAAGGAAAGGAAAGGAAAGGAGGGGAGGAGGGAAGGAAGAAAGGAGGGAGGGAAGGTAGGTTAAGTTTGGGGGAAAAAAGGCAAACTTTTGGAGACAGAAAGTAATTTGGGGAGGGAAAGGAAAGGAGAGTAAAGGGATCAAAAATGATCAATTCTCTTCCTGCTGGAACCATGGAAGGTGTCAAAGAGAAGAAAAAGAAGGTTTCTGCTGTTCCAGAAACCCTTAAGAAAAAGCGAAGACATTTCACAGAGTTAAAGATAAAGCGCCTGAGAAAGAAGTTTGCCCAGAAGACACTTCACAAGGTGAGAAGGAAACTCATCTATGAAAAATCCAGGCACTATTGTAAGAAATACACACAGGCCAGGGAGATGGCTCAGTAGAATAAGCGCTTGCCTGGTAAGTGCAAGGGCCTGAGTTCAATCCCCAGATCTGATAAAAAAAAAAAAAAAAGAAGAAGAAGAAGTACAGACAGATATGCAGAACTGAGATCCAAATATTTAGGATGGCAAGAAAGGCTGGCAACTTCTATGTCACTGCAGAGCCCAAACTGGCATTTGTCATCTCTGGATCTGGGGTATGAATGGTACGAGCCCAAAGGTATGCAAGTTGTTGCAGCTTCTTTGCCTTTGCCAAATCTCCAACGGTACCTTCATTAAACTCAACAAGGCTCCAGTTAACATGCTGAGAATTGTGGAGCCATACATTGCATGGGAGCACCCAAACCTGAAGTCAGTAAATGAACTAGTATACAAGTGTGGCTATGGTAAAATCAATAAGAAGCAAATTGCCTTGACAGATAATTCACTGACTGCGCAATCTCTGGGTAAATATGGCATCTTCTGCATGGAGGATCTGATTCATGAGATCTATACTGTTGAAAAATGCTTCAAAGAGACAAATAACTTCCTGTGGCTGTTCAAGTTATCATCTCCACAAGGTGGAATGAAGAAAAAGCACCCATTTTGTGGAAGCGAAGATGCCAGAAATAGGGAAGTCCAGGTCAACAGGCTTATTAGAAGGATGAACTAAGGTGTGTACCATGGTATTTTTAAGATTTTGTCAGTTAATAAAGTATCTGCTTCCAAGCTGAAAAAAAAATGATCAAGATATGTTACTAAAGGGGCCAGGGAACCAGGTCAGTAGAATAAGCACCTGGCTGGCTAGCATAAGGTCCCAAGTTCCTAAGTTTAATCCCCAATACTGGGGAAAAAAAAAATATATATATATATATATATATATATATATATATAACCTGCATGTACCATTTCCCAAATTAACATCACTGCTCTGAAAAACACACTACTACAAAAACCAAAATATAATAATGAAACAAAAAGGACTGGCAATGCAGCTCAAAGATAGAGTGCCCCTGGATTTGATTCCCCAGTTCAAAAACAAGCAAACAAAAAATAAACAAGATTTAATAGCTGTAATTAATGGGGGTTTTCCTCCTTTCTGTCTTACCAGAAAATTATAAAGAATAAGGTATGTCTCTATATCTTAAAAGTTGTGTGCAGAGGTTCACACAGGCCTGAAATAGGCTTGGGGGCTACACTTAGGAAACAGTGTGACCCTGGAACACAGGCCTCTGTCCTGCTTCTGTTGTTGCTGCAACTTGCTATATGAGGTTCTTTACAAGTCATTTTTCCTTTCTAGGATTGTTTCTTTATGAAACAACAGGTAGAACTACCAGATTCCATTATGATATCTTCTAGTTTCTATAATTAAACTCTGTGTAAGGGTTCAATATCATTTTGGAGCAGCACGAGACAAGGACAAAAAGCACTCACAGCAGCACTTCTGCTTTTTGTGGAGCTTTTGAGACTACCCCACTTCTGCAGCAAGCCAGACACTAAGAGGCCTCAGTTTGTACCTTACCAACAATTTACAGAATTGTCACCATAGAATGTGTAGGGGGTATTGTAGCCCTCCCAGCCCCAGGCTCTGTGCCTCAGCCTTTCACTCTGGCTGGAAGAAGGCAGCAGATTTAGCCAGGTAACCTGTGCCTTCTGATCTTTAAGAGAAAGAGTTGTGAAAATAAATGGTTTTCATCCCCAATTCCACATATATAATCCTTGAAAATATACTCTTTTTTCTAAACTGAGGGTTGAGCCCAGGGGCACTCTCCCACTAAGGTCTATCTTCAGCTCTTTTAATTTGTTTATTTAGAAACAAAGTCTCCCTAAACTGCTCAGGCAAGCCACAAGCTTGTATCATCCTGTTGTGAGTGGCAGGGCTCCAGGCATTTACCACCACACCCAGCAAAAATACACTTATGTTTATGCAGCACCCTAAGTCACTTTTATATAGCAGTTTAGCATAAAGGTAAAAAGTATGACGACATTAAGTGCTGGCTCTAGTATTTAACTGTTGTACAAATTTAGGCAATATTCCTTTTCTGTAAAACAGAGGAAATAATAAGAATTATTACAAAAATTTATCAAGAGTGTGCAGGCAAACTAGTTAGCAAAGTCTGTAATCAATGTTGGATGGATGGATAGATAGATGGATAGACTACAGACAGACAGAGTCTGTGACTCCCTGAAAAGTCTCATCTAAGGGGCACAGTTTAGTAGCAATGAATGACATCAGCTGATCTTTCTCCAGAGCAAACAATATGGCAAAGATTCAAAGCTGGGCTCATCTCTTACTAATAGGATTCTGCAGGAATGAGGAGGAAATGAGATTAGCCTGAAAGTGCAAAACTTACTCTGGTGTAAGATAGAATCTTTCACAGCAACACACACACACACACACACACACACACACACACTTAGTAAGGTCATAAAAAATCAAATGCTTTTCATTTATGCCTTCACAAGTGTTGCCAGTATTAAAAGCTACAAATTTTATAAAATTGTGTGAGTCCCTAGAGACAAGTTCAATTCTGTCATTTGATAAACACATAGCTAAGGTCCAGGGAGGTTTTAAGCAACTTGTTTGAGGCCATTCAGCAGTAAATGACATTGCCCAGACACGCAAAGGGCCTCATGACTACCTTTGTGGCTAGTCAGCATTTGCCCTGATATCTTCAACAGTTCCATATCCCATTATTGCTGTGCCAGGGCAAAAGTAAAGCAAAAACCACACAAAGTTTCCTCTCTTCTGCCTGGGTTCCCAAGAAGTACAGAAGCAACCTCAGCTCTTCAAGATCTTCTCTCCCAAGCTTGCCATTGTGGGAACTGGGGAGGATCCCAATCAATCTTCTCTCTCTTTAAAACCTTTCTCGAGTTTCTATCTTTTCCTTGTTATTTCTTTCTTGCATCCAGTCTTCAAAGCTGCTTCTAAAAGTTCCTTACTACACAGGCAGGGAACTTCCAAGGGCAGAAGTTACAAACTGCAAATTTGCAAATTCTTAGCTTTGGTCAAATGCCATAATGTACCTCCAGGGAGCAAATACCGAACTGTATGAGTTCCCTTCAAACTGTCTGAGTGAATTCGGTTAGACCTGGTCCCTCCCTCCTTAAGACAACTAACATAGGTTCCTTATGAAGTGTGTGGGTGTGTAAGAGGCTGGAGGACACTTGGATATGCATAGGGAACTGGAGAAAAGAGGCAGCAAGGAAAGGAAGGTGGACTGGGAGGGGGCGCCAAATGAGAGGAACACAAGAACCAAATCACCAAGTCTGTATGCTGGAGACAGCTGGCCACTGAGAATGACTCACAGCTGAGCGGGAAGAACTGCCTCAGGAACAGCACAGGTTTAATTATGTGTTGCAGTAGTTGACAAACAACAGACTGGTGCCCCAAACAGGCAGAAAGCAGGCAAAAGAAACCCCAAAATGACAGATGGGAGGAATTCTCCACCTACTACTCTCCTGTCATCTGATGCTTCCCTGTCCACCCATCAGGTGTACTTGAAGCTCACCAAATTCAGTGGTGCTGGCAGTTGTACCCCAAGCTTATCAAGTTCAGTGGCACCCCCTAACGGAGAACTCCCTTCCTTGTTATCCCCAGGGTTGGAGGGACGCAAGATGAGCGGCGTCTCCTCTCTACCCAGGGCTCCCATTCCTTGCCCCTCATCCAAGAGAAAGGCTTTCTCTGGCTTCCTGAAGCTGACAGATGTGGGGTACTTCTGGTCCTCCACACATGGGTTCTTCTGAGGCACCCCTCATCCCGAATCTCTGCTGTGAAGGAGGGAGACAACTCACAAGGCAGCTAAGCATTCTTTCCCCAAGCGCGCGCCCTACCCTCAAAACCCAGAGGCCGGTTTAGCCTTTTGAGCTTTCCTTCTCCCTACCTGAATTCTGGGACCAGATTAGGCTGCATCCCATAGAAGGCAGCTGAAAGCGTGACCAGCCATCCAGGTTTGTAACTCCCGTTCTCACACTCCAGATATGGTGGCGACCACTTGACGTGACTCTTGTCGCTGCTGAGTCCATCCCTGCGCCTCCAGCTGTGGCCCAGGCCCCGGGGCCCCTGATTGGAGCCGCGGCGGTGTAAGTGGGGCCTCCACTTGCGCCGGAGGCCATGGAACCACTCAGTCTCCAGCGTGGCGTTGGCCAGGTGGTGGGCAGAGGAGGACAGGTCCTGGAGCAGGACGCGACTCTCTTCGCGGGTGGCTTGAAGGAAGACCGGCGGGGTGGGCGCGGACAGCGACTCGGTGCTGAAGGTGATGGCCGCCCGGGAAATGCTGGGCTCCCCCTCCAGCAGGCTGCGCACCAGCGCCTGGTACCACTCCAGGTCGTCCTGCAAGTTCTGCTCCCGAGACTTATTGCTCTGCAGCATCATGTTGAGGAAGTTGGTGGCATGTGTCAGCGTGTCCAGCGCTCCGTGCAAGGAGGGATGGGAGCTGGCGAGGGCTGGCGACCTCCCTAGCAGGCCAGCCAACTCATAGCGGCCGGAGCAGTTGGCCCGCTTCAGCTGGTGGGAGTCCCCGGTGTAGAGGTAAGAGGCCACGTCCATGGGCACCTCTTCTGCGAGCTTCTGCGCCAAGATGGTGCCGTCGGTGGAGCGGCTCCAGGGAGCCGAGGAGTCCGGGGCGGAGGCTCGAGCCGCCTGCTGCGCATGCTGCTTAGCCCTCAGGGGCCTCTCCCGGTGGGGATCCGGCCGTCCCGGGGGGTCGCGGCTGGCGCCGACCGCTCCCAATCCCAGCTGAGCGAGCAAGAGGCAGAGAAGGAAAGGACAAGCCATGTCCACCATCTGCTCGCGGAAGAAGAGGTAAGGAGCGCAGTCACTTTTTAAATTTTGGTGATCGGTTTATCAACAGTGAGACTTTTCCTAGGGGTCTTCTCTCTTCTCCAGATGGCACCCGATCCGAAAGGACTAACAGAAGATTGTTTTGCAGTGGGTCCAGCTGGCTAGGCTGCCGGCATGGGAAAGCGAATCACCTGTGGCGACGCTGGCCGCACTCGCTCCGCCGCGGGCGGCTCGGATGGTGCGCGGCACAGCCCCGCGCGAATGGTCACATCGCCGCGCGCCCTAGCGAGTGAGCCACTCCGCTCCGCCCCGCCGCCGCCGCCGCCGCCGCGCTCATTGAAGTGCGTCCGGGAGCCGCCACCGCCGCCGCTGCTGCTGCCCGCGCGACCGCCGCGGACGCCGCTCCATCCTCTCCCGCCCGGCCGGCCCGGCTTCCCCCGCCTGCGCCCGCGCCCTACACAGCGAGCCAGCGGAGAGGGAACCGCCTGGAGCGAGGGCTCGGCGCAGACGCTCTCGCCGGGCAGCCAGAAGCGCGGGGCAGCTGGTTGATCGCAGCCAGGAGCCACACTGCCGTTCCCCTCTTTCCCGAGCAGAGCCAGTTTAAAGAGCCAGCTTGGCCGCAACCAAACCCTTGCAGGCCGGTCGCGAGGCGTCCCGCGCCCTGATTGGTTGGTTTCCGCGTCGATCATGGGCGGGGCGGGGAGGGAGCTGTCCAGTGCTGAACCCGGGAGGCGCGGCGGGGGCGGGGGCGCGGGAGGCCGCGCCCGAGCCCGAGCCCTGTCACCCACTCGCGTTCTGACTACTCGGAAATGCGCGGGGGTGCAGGAGGGGGCTGGAGTGAGGCGCGCAGCGGGGCTGTCGGCGGCTCCGCGAGGAGGAAACTTAAGCGCACCGAGGAAGAAAAGGAGGAGGATGTCAGCGTCGTCTGTGCTTCGTTAAATCAGCCTCTGCATCTGCCTGAAAAAGAGGGAAAAGGGAATAGTTTGCATTTCTGACTGAAACAAGAAGGGAGGGACGTAGGATGGATATGTGCCCTCCTGAGCATCTGTTCCTTTTTAGGCAGAGTATTAAATTCTCTTTCTTGTCAGTTAAGGAAACAATGAACAAGTTCTTGCTGAGGTTGGTCTTGGCTACGAGAGAGTAATGGAGACATCTACCGGCTGAGCTTTGCGTGGGGGAAAAGACCATAGAGAAGCTCTTGGGAGCCAGAATGCGGAGGCAGTCAGTGGACCTCATGAAAATAAAGATGCATAGGGAAGGAACCATGTCCAAGGGGCACCACGTGTGGACTGCTGAAGAATTTCAAATAAAAAAAGGGAGTCTTGTTGAGTGGGAAAGGAAGTCATTCTAGCTGGGAGTTGCTGGAATTGATAGATAAGAGCTAGGACCTCTGCTCAGCTCGAAGTTGTAATATCCCGACAGAGGGAAGAACTGCACACGTATCCCAAGCCGCCTCAATTATTGAGAATCCCTTGACACAGTTTGTTTTATTTGAAACATATTTAAATTTAAGAATGCCTTCTAGCACTCTTGAAAGATAGGTCAATAGTGTGGATATCTAGTGCTGTATGTATGGGTACTTCCCATCAGTGATTCCATTTTCAAATTTCCCACAAAAGGCACAAATAGAAATTTTCACATTAACTTTAATAGCCAACAGAAATGTCACTCCTAATATTCCATAAAAATACTGTTTAGGGTACTCTTTGTTTTTATTATTCTATTGAGAAAATGCCTGCCTTCCATTTTGTGTTGCCATAATAAAATACCTGACACTATATAATATATAAAGAAAAGAGGCTTACTTAGCACACACATTTTGTAGAGTAGAATTCCTCATCATTATGGCCTGTAGTGAAAATCGGCTAGGTCAGGACCTGAAAGACAGCATCATGTTTGGGAGCATGTGGGAGAGAGAGAAGGAGAGGTGATGTGGCAGAATAAGGAGCAACAGACCATGGAGGGATCAAACCACCTCTTGTATTAGTGATACAGGGAGAAAAACTGGTCTCGGGTGGGTGTCCTCCAAACCATATAGGGAACCTCCAAATGACATAGGGAAAAACGATCTCTGGACCTGACCTGCACGAGTTTGTGTTCTCTAAAACCGAAGAATGAATTTTAGGAACAAATGGAGGTTATGAGCAGAATGTATTTACTAAGAGAAAGAAAACTCCTGTCCCGAGAGAGGGACGGGGGGGAGGGGGGCCCTGAACAGGTAGTTCCCCCCCCCCCAAGTTGTCTCTTGCAGAGACTTTTATAGAGGAAAACCATGTGGTGAGGTGGGTCTAAGGTGGTGGAGAAGACATGGGAACTTGCTTAGTTGGGCATGAGGTAGGACAAAACTATGGTCAACCAATGAGATTACAAGCACCATTGCTCAGGTAAATTGACTAAATCCAGTAACAAATGGGAAAACAAGTCATGTAGCAAGTGGGCACGAATACGGAACAGGGTCTCTTCCTGTTGGGGGTTGGGCTAGTGACTCATTTGGGTTCTTTCAAGTTGATTGATACTATTTAGGTTATCAATCCCTAATGCCCATCCCTAGGGAAGTATGTAGCTGTGCTTCCTCTTTTTGTCTTGGTCTTGAGGTGTGGCCCATATGGGAGTGTTTGTTTCTTCCAAGTTGCAGGGTCACCTTGTCTTCCACCTTGTCTCCTTGAGACCTGACCGTGTCTAACTGCCTATAATATTTCTATCTAACTGGGCTGCCTACAACATTAGGACACACCCTTCTAAGAACTAATCCAATACTATTAATTAGATTTGTCTAGGGGGCACTGGGGATAGAACTCAGGGATTTTACACTGAGCTACATCAAAGGTCTTTTTTTGTTTTGTTTTGTTTTTATTTTCAGACAGCTTCTTGCTAAGCGACTAAGTTCATCAAGCTGAGCTCCACCTTGTCACTCTTCTGCTTCAGCCTGTCAGAATGCTGAGGTTGCAAACTCGTGCAACAACACCTGCCAAAAGCCTCGCCCACTCTGAGAAGACAAAGTTAATCCACTCATGAAGGTAGAGGTCCCACCTTTTAAGGTGTTCACCACCTCAACATCACCACACTAAGGACCAAGAGTACAGTCCATGAACTTTTATGGGACAAATCATAACAAACCACAGTGACAGTTAAACACTAGAATGCAAACTCCAAAGGAGTAAACTCTTGTTCTACCTTGGTCACTGAAGTACCTAGAGTTCCTAGAACACTGTTGAAACACAATAGGTTCTCACTAAATATGTGCTGAATTAAAGAATGAACTAGAATGTCATGATCATGAAGCCTTTTATTCAAAACTTCGTTTCATTACCCAAGAGAAGACTTCCTGAAATGCCTGTGGTGATCCTTAGAATCCTTGGCAACCAATTTCTCAAACTACATGACAAGGTTTCAAGTGAATTTCATTACTATGCAAAGAATAGTTATTAGATTTATGTTTACTTACAGGCAGATTTGATGTTCATATCCAACTTTTTGTTCAAATTTTGCTTTGTAGTGTATGCTCCTATGCTAAGTAAAGGTCAACCCAGTTTAATGCTCTATTATAGTACATGAGAAATGGTCACAAAAGGAACTTGTTTAATTTGCCAAAGTATACACTATGACTTCCCGTTTGTTTTACCATCTAAAGTCTGAAGTGTAATTTTCTCATTGATTTTTTTAGAGAATCTACCTAACTTAGCAACAATTCTTTAAAATTTGATGGTATCTAACTTAAAAAAGAGAAAATATTTTTCTTAGTAGGTCTTTCTATAAGTAAACTGATCACAACATAATAATAATAATTAATAATAATAATAATAATAATAATAAAGGCTAAATACTGGTCCTAGCATTGTTTTAAAATAACTGTGACAGGGCTGGCCAAACAGCTCAGCAAATTAAAGTTCCCTCAAGCAGGTGCAGGGGTTGGGAGTTCAGTGATCCCTGGGCTTGCCATGCCAGCCCTGCCCTTAGGGCACAATGAGACAGTGACTGAGACTGGGCATAGTGGCATGTTTCTGTAATTCCAGTACTTGGGAGGCTGTAAACAGGAGGACCACTATGAGTCCAATCTAGTAGTGAGATCCTGAACACCGTGTAAACCCTTCCCTAAAATACAGAGAAAAAAAAAAACAAACTGTGACAATGGCAATACATCTAACGTTTCTGTCTTAAGGCATAAATTTTATCTCAGCCTTAGGTTATACTGAGGTGGTATAGGGTAGCACCTACCCAGGAGTACGAGTCTTCCCCCAATACAAATCTAAGAGCAGAGAAGACTGAAAGGTTCTTGGAACTTTAGCAATATTTCAGTGGACATTAGCATCACCTTTCAGCCTTCATTGCCTTATAACTTGGGTAAGCTAGATGGTTCTAAATTAGGATGGTCCAGGGCCAGGGAGATGGCTCAGTGGAATAAGTGCTTCCCTGGCAAGCATAAGGGCCTGAGTTCAATTCCTGGTTCTGCCAAAAAAATAAATAATAAATAATAATAAATTACAACAGTCCAGTAAAGGTACAATATGAGCCACAAATATGATCCATGTAATTAATTTTCAATTCTCAAAGCATATTTAAAATTTTCAAAATACTGGGCCTGGTGGCACAAGCTTGTAATCCCAGCACTCTGGGAGGCTGAGACAGAAGGATTACAAATTCAAGCCCAGGCTGGGTAATTTAGTGAGACCCTGCTTCAAAGTAAGAAATAAAATAATGAGCTGGGGATGTACCTCAGTACAAAGATATCAGTTTCAATTTCTAATACTGCAAAAGATAAAATTAAGTTTTTATCTTAATTTTAAAATAAAGGTTAAGTTATGTTTGTAACTTAGGTTAAACTTTTAAAGAAAACTTTAAAGAAAATAATAAAACTAATTTTTATAATATATTTGATTTTTCCAATATATTCAAATAATTATCATTCAATAAGTAAACAATATAAACAGTATTGATGATCTATTTAATACTCTATTCTGTGTTTTCCAAGTCTGATGTGTATTTCATGTTGTCTAGACATCACCTCTTATGAACCACATTTTAAGAGCTCAATAGCCACCTGTGGCCAGATACTACCAGAGAGCACATGATTTGGAAGAGATCACATTATGGTCCAGAATGCTCTAGGAAAGTCTAGCTTCAGTGAATTTAAGGTACATGAGTCCAAATGCTCTAGAAAACTTGACCATTTAGTAGATCTGAAGTCAAGGCAACTGAGGAGATAGGAAATTTCATCAATTAAGAGAATAATTCAGAAAAGGTTTTATAAAGAGCTGAGATTTAGCAGACACAGCCCTTTAAACAGTGTTGAGATTTTTGCAGAACTCACATAAGGCACATAAACATTCAACAAATGTTC